CAAGTATGCTGTGAGTAAATCTCACTCCTTAGGAAACATGTTACTGGTTGTAAAAATGTGATATCAAACTCAGTTTGATTGTCTCACATTTTGTCTTACTATGAATAATCAAAAAAATTGTAAGATAGAGCAAGCAGGAAATGAAACAATGGTCTAAGATACAACACTTCTAGGTAAAAAGATCAAGAAACCTAAGGAGTTACTGGCCCATTAATTGCAAGATGGAAGTTTTACAGAAACATTCATACGGAAACATTCTCAGGACATCTGCAAAAAAACTGCAGAAGGCAGGTGATTAGTAATGAGGCTGTTCTTTGAGAACAGAAGGCAGTCTGAAAGAGAAGCCTTGTGGCAGAGACTGTCAAACTTTGAGGGTAATTGATACTTTTAAGACCCACATATGTAGGCTTTTGTTGTTTTAATCCTTTTCTCTGCGTGCGGCAAACTTTTACAGATTAACACCGTATTTTGTTTTGAACAAATTCTTTTGCATTAATCTGCTGCCAGCCCTAGACTTCCAGGGGAAGTTTCTTGAGGAGGCTGAATGCCTGGCCTGGCCTGGCCTGCTTTGCTGGCCAGGTGAGAAGGCAGCTGGTAGCAGCCTTCAGAGGTTTTTGCAGCTTTGCATGAAGTGCACGTGTTCACCCTGGAGAAACACCTGGCGGGAGTGTGGCTGAAGGGTATGTGGATGTGCCTAGGACACAGGTGGTATTTTAACCCTGAGCCTTCGCTGCTCACAAATCCTGCGTATGTTTTTGCAGATTTTATAATTGACAGTCATGATGAATCCTTGCAGTTCCACCTGCTGAGGAGACACGGCCTTGTGTCTAATCTAGTTTTTTGACTACCTTGCAGTAGCCCAGAGACACAAATCTGTCCAGCAGAACTACTGTAGTGAACAAAATGTATAGTGAGCTAGAACACAGTAACGAAAGGTAAGGAGGCTTGTTTTCTCACAAGGTAAGGCAGGATTTAGGGTTTTTGTTTGTTTCTAAATCAACTGTTTGATTATCAAATGGCAATCCTGTGGCTCTTCAGGGAGTTATCTGTGTGATGGTAATGTGAAAATGTGAGGATGTATTTTGCCGGGGCTGTCTTTTCTATGAAAGTGGAATGAAGTGTAGATTGCTGGAATGCGGTAAATTAGAATGGGGCAAGTGTCTTGACTTCAGTACTGCCAAGTGACTTTTTCACTCACTGAGATTCCAGGCACTTGAGCAGGGACTACTGTGACACTTGTCATGGAGCAGAAATGAAAGCTCTAAGCTCCAAGCTAAAATTTCTGAAGCACCTCAATGCCTTAGTAGCTCATACTCAATATTGAGTCTTTTGGAAGTTCCAAGTAAGTACCAGAGCCATTCTTCAATAATTACTGTGAATTATCTATCATATTGTGTTAGTTAATGCTGGCGTTGCAATACTGTAGAAATAAGTGTGCTAGTGAAATGTTTTTTGCTTATAACTTCTCAAGTGCTTTAAACAAAAGTATCTCAGTCGCCCCGCTTGTACTGAAGTGGATTGCAAAGGAATTGTCGATGCTTGTTAAAAGCATCCGCTTCAAGCGAAGTGATCCAGGTAAGAAGTATTGCTGGGTACATTCATTTATTTAGGTACTTGAATCACATGTACAAAGTATCCCTTTCTACAGCAGTACAGGTAAGATGATAAAACCTGAGCTTTAATTCTTAAGATCTTACTTTATCTGCAGGTTAATTTAAATTACAAATGATACAAAATCAAGCAAATTATAACCTAATGAAGTAATTTAAGTTAATATAACTCAGCTGGTTAATTTCATACAGCCCATTCCAGAACAGCAATTTGTGCATCACCTTTAAACTGAGAAAAAAAAAAAACTAAAATACATTTTTGAAGTGAAAATTATTAGATGGAAGCAGGGTGATACACTGTAAAAGCAATGAAAAGTTTTTTGTTTGTTTAATACTTTTAAAGGGAAATTCAACCATAGGTTGATATTTAATAGCTTAAGGTTTCAGACTAAAAAAGCAGCTGGACCTTTCTGCTGGTGACAGTAACTATTCCTGTCTTACCAATTGATACCAGGATGCGTGTCCTGACATGCTTGCGGTTAAGATGTCTCAGTGTGGGGATTGCTTTATTTCATGGCTGGAGGAAGGAGCCAGGGATTATCCTGTAGTTTTGAATACTCTGACCAATAGCAAATCAAATCTTTCTCTGTCTCTTTGCTAGCAGCTGAAGATGAATTTTTACGGGGTATGTGCTTCTGATGTGATACCTCCAATAGAAAAATATATATTGTCAGGTTGTGTCTAATGTTTTCAATTCTGAAATGAACTATGGTACAGCTCGAGCAGAGCAGCATCCTGAAAGAGCCTAGTCTGAAAGACTAGCCACCACTTACCAAAACACTGTATCAGAGTCTGCTTAACTTTTTGAGCTGACTTCTACCTGTCCCTTCACAAGCTGCAGGGCATCAGTCCCAACAGTAAGTGAGAACAGGAGATTTCGCTCCTCTTTCTTTGTCTAAACTCGTCCACCGAGGTAAACACCTGTGAGAAATAAAATACTAATAGCAGTTAGGGTGAACTCTATAAAGGTAGGTGGCAACCTATGAGTTTACCTCTAATAAGCCTAATTGCAATAGTTCTGTTTCTGCAGAGCTTGCCAACAAACAGGTAATTACCCCAGCTAGGGCCGTGGTTCTACTCCTGCCCAGAAAGATGCACGGGCTGAGCCCTGGTTTGACAGCCAGAAAGCCTGTGGAGCTGCACTATGGGTTACGTTTGCTTCATCTCCTAAGGGAAACCCATAACCTGAAACCTTCAGGCCATTCTCTGAAAGGCTGAAGAGACTGAGCTAAGAAAAACAGCTCAGCCCTGAAGGTTTGCAGGTACATCACTTTTTTGCACAAGCAAAAAGAAAAAATGAAAAAACACAGAAACCTTAAAATTATTCTAACATATTTTCATTGATGGCAATGTGCTTAAAAAAAATGACATTAACAAATAGCTTCTGAATAACACTGACATTTTTCGTCTCACTTTTCCAGTAGAAGTTACAGATAATAGGCAAAAGAACTAAAACAAAACCTTTGTGTGTCCTAACAGACGTGTTTGAAAATTATCTTGATGCCTTGCTATATCACTATTTCAATCGTTGTTCTTTCCCCAAAAGATACATCTTAAATTTACTTACCATACTTGTTTCAATGGTCTTTTTAGACAACTTATTTTAAATGTCTATTGCTCTTCTAAAGCATTTGCTTGTGTACAGGATTGTTCATTCCCCAATTTTTGGATGGCATCTGTTGGGGTGTCTTCCTGTTAGTCTTTCCACAGTTCTTCCTTTTTTTTTTTTTTTTCATTCAGTAGCAACTAACCCTTTCTGAAATGTGTTTTCATCAACTAGGTCCTTTTTTCTTCCCCTGTAATCCAAGACTGAACCATTCACCTTTTCTCTATTGCAGATTTTTAAAACCTAGATTCTCCTAGGTTCTGACAGCTCAGATTTCGGTATCGTTTCTGTGGGGTGAAAAAGGCAAAGAATTGATGAAAGGGTTAAACCTTCAATCAGCATAAACCTTGGATAACAACTCCAGTAACACTGAGAGAACTATCCCACTTCTTTACATCCACAGAGGATGTAAAGATATGTTACAGCAGAGTGAACAGAGTCCACAGCCTTGCACAGAAACACTTGTTTTTGATCTCTGCTTTTTCTGCTAAAACCCTGCTTTCTCTCATTTCAGCACATTGGTCTTTTACAATGTGTTATTCAAAGAGTTTTCTACTCCCAGATCCCTTCTTAGTCTTGGTTTGTTCTGTTTAATCTCTGCTTCTGCTCGTATTTGCAATTAATATTTTATTAGCGTTTTCACAAGAACGAATACGCACATACGAAACAAGATACAGCATCAGTAATGATACCAGGATATAATATCATCAAGCCTGCCTTGGGAACAGACAAGTTTCCCAACACAGACAGCCTTTTTCCAGCTTCCTCTTTTTATAGATAAATAGTATTAGTGGATAAAATCAGCTGATGGAGACATTAATTTTATGCTTCTATCTAGCCGCTGATACCATTCAAGTTGTCAAAGCCTAATACTTACACTTATTAGATCATGCTGCTAAAGGATGACATTGCTTATTCATCTTTCTCATGGTTCTGTCAAGGGAAGGTCTGATCTTACCAAAATTAAATTCTGGATTCCTGTATTATGTTACTAGGGCTGTATATAACTTGGGATTCTGAAGAAGACATATTATCTATTCTGCATGGCAAACTTACTTCTTTTCCCCTTCTTTTTCCTTCTTCTAAAGAAATCCCTAACATTCAGTTAGAGTTGAAAAAAATAGTTTGTGTAAATAAAAACCTTCTCATGACTATGGCTATACATGTAGTTACTGAGGCCTGTAAGAGCAGTCTTGCTAGAAATCCAGACCAGGTGACATCTGTATTCTTTTTCCAACCTCTGTTGGAACATGAGGTATCCTGAAGCATGGCCATTCTGTTCTCTCCTGCCATGTGTTGCTAAATAATGGGTAGTATTTGTATTGCATACACTGCATTCCGGTTAGCTGTCTTGAATCTGATGCTTGATCTTTGTTTGTACAAGCCTTCATTTAGCATTCTGTTGCTGACAGAAGATTCAGGACAAAGATCCTGTTCAACTTCCGTGGTTACTCCTCTTTCTTTCTTCCTCTCTTACCTTTTCAGTTGGGTATTATTCTCAGATGAAACGATCTAATCAGAATTGATAGCAATTATTAAAACTTAATACCCCTTCCTGCTACCTGCTTCCTGTGCACCTTGCTCTTTTAAAGAAGACCCATGATGCATGAACATTAAGAGGCACATGATGAGACAACGTTAAATTTTGTTCGCATACTTTCTAGCCGCTACTTAATCAACAACTACTTGTTGGACTTCAATAACTTGTTAATTTAAAACAACTTTAAAAACATTGTGTTGCTTCCTACATGAAAGGAAATAATTTACTTGTCATGGGGCCACACATCACCTTTGTGCTTCCTCTTGCAGAACGTCTATTACACAAGCAATCAGCAGCTCCACGTGGGTGTTCTGAGTCCTACTATCGACGACGATGACAACAGATGTCTGGTGGATGTGAACAGCAGGCCCAGGCTCATTGAATGCAATTATGCCAAAGCCAAGAGAATGAAGCTTTACTGGCAGTTTACTCAGGTAATTCCTTCTCAGTGGATATTTAAGAAAGTTAAAAAGCTTTGTTTGCGCTTTCTGTACCTGAAATGTGAGCAATCTACTAACAAAACAGAGCCAGTGCACAGTCCCAGGAACTTTTTTTTTTTAAAACATTTGATCCCAGTATCAGCTGCCTATCTCAGAAGATTTTATATGCATCTTTTATAATAGTCCTCCAGAGTTACAATTTGTGATTTACTGCCCGGTTTCTAAGACAGAACTATGGTTAAAAATTATCTCAATCCTAGAAATGCGATTTAGAAGACTCAACTGCAGAGTAATCTATTTAGCAGTACGGAATACAAAGTTTAATGCTGGTGTCACAGGAGTTTTTTTTTGTTTTGTTCTTCCCTTCAGAAATAAATGGCTCAGAAAAGGATGTAGAAAGACAAGGATGGTAACATGCTTCTAAGGAGGTAGTTGTAGTAGTTGTAGTTATAGCCCCTTCCCTAAAGGGGACAGCTACTACAGCTACTACATTTTTGGCACTATAAAAAGATCAAACAAAGGTTGAAATGTGCTTGTGCAGCAATGAGAATGCTCATAAGATACAGCCCAGTGTTTACACTTTGCAAATCATATGTCAATACAGGGAAACTTAAATAAGCAAACAAACAAAAAGACAAAAATATTCGGGGCTGGAAAGCACACTCCATGACACAATACTTACAGAGAGATTAGGTAACCTCTGCAGGTTGGCTCGGTGGAGGTAGCAGGGTGACTTGAAACAGATGAGTATTTCTGAAGAGGGAGATAAGATGCCTTGATGGCAAAACAGCCTCCAGTGGATTGGAACCGTTTGACTAGTCAATTCAGTCTTTCAAAAGGTGATACAATTTTCTTAATTATTATAATACTGGAAGTTTACCATGTGATAGAAATGCTATGTCTGTTGGTTAGTATAAATAAAGTGCGATTGCAGTACTTTTTAAAACCAGTACCTAATGTAGCTTGTGGGAAAAAAATAATGGCTGGTGGATGCTGGAAGTCAGTCTAACCAGTCACAGGTGTTCCTCTTCAAGTGTACTTTATTTCTGTGAAACATGGCACAGTGTTCCTGCTTCACCAAAACCTGTTAGTGGTATAGAAACCCATGGGTTCATATTCTGCCTTATGACAATTTCATAGCTACATATCGTTTCTTCTGCAACATGCATATGGGTTTACAAATCTCTTTTATGCCTGCTCATTAGGTTAGCATTTTTTTGTTTTTGATTGAACCAACCATGATTACTGTGTTTTAGGACATGGGCAGTGTCTAGCTTAGTGCAGAGATCATTTGAACACAAGTCAGTAAAACCTACTGTTATTGTTAGTATCTGTAATTGAAAGTAATCTGCAATCCTTGTCTTGAAAGGGTAGCTGTCAAGCAGCAAATGTTAAATACCTCATCTGGAACGACCTCCCAGCTTCTACTTCCAGTCCTCCCTATCGGCAGTTTTAATTGTGTCTTCTGTCAAATTTGAGCAATGGTTTTGTTATGGAGTCCCCAATGTGGCTATCCTTGCTTTTCTTTTCCATTTTTACACATTTACGTAAACCATATTTTAGTAACATTTCTGTACTGTTCATCTGCCTGTTTGATGTTGGCTGTATGGAACCTCACCCTTTGGGCTGCATTTTGTCGCACTAATTATGCTAGATCTGATTCAGGGGTACCTCAATAGAATGCCCTGATATTTAACTACTAGAAAAACCCTTCAGAAATAGTATTTAGCTGAATTTATTTCCATCCCATGTCCCAAATGCAGTGTCCAGCTGAAGGTACGGTGCTAGGTACTAACAATGTATGGACTTTGACAAAAGAAAATCTTGTATAAAGAAACTTCTGTCCAAGAGCAGGGAAAACTAGTTATGTTTTTCCATATGATAACTTAAGAGACACACAAGATTAACAAAGTCCTTTTTGAACAAAATTTTAGTTATGCCACTGCAGTTAAAATGTTATTTCTCAAAACAGTATAGTGCACAACTCCCATTCTGCATGCTATAAGCTAGAAGAAAACTAATGAGAATACTTGGGACTTGCCAAAAGGAACTCATGTACCGCATTTGAAATTCCCCCATGTAGTTTGGTGGAAGGGTATGGTTCTCTGAATGCACTAAAAGCTCTTTATCTGAAGTAGGTATTTTTTTATTATATTGTGAATGCTTTGTTATTTCTTTTCAATGTTATACAATGACAGAACTAGGGCAAAATAAGCTGGACTAAGTTTATTGATGCCTGTGTAGTCTTAAAGCTGGTGAAATAATTATAATGCAGATGTTGGCCATGACTTTTTACAGCACTTCCTTTTGAATGCAAGCACACTTAGACTTGTATAGATTCCCTGGTGTGAATTCTCAGGGGAGAATTGTCTTGGAAAGGAACTGGGAACCAGGAAAGACTTACAAAGTTGGAGGAGGATAAACAAATTGAACCACATTTCTCTGACCAGCACAAAAGTCAAAGTATTTGCAACAGAGATAGATATGATGTTTGAATGAGGAAGATTTCTCATTTTCCTGAGACAGCCTATCTTCTGAGACACAGCATGAAAGTCTGCCATGTGACATGGAGTTCAGTCTCGTCTGTGTCAGACTCTACACCTGATTTGAAAATGCTCCGTACAGATTAGATTTGTTCCTCCCCGCTTTATTGGTGAAAAGGAATGATGAGTTATATCCTCATGACAAAGGTAGAAAAATATATGTCATCCTTAGCTCCTGTCTACTTGATTCTGTAAATATAATACAGGATTATTCTGCAACTTTAATTAGTCTCTGAAGGACTAGAACTGTATGCATACATCAAACAGGTTGTTAATAATTATTCAGTTTGGTTTTAGAATACTCATTTTTGTCAAGTTGTGTGATTCTCTTCAACTGTAGGCAACTGGATTCAGATATTCAGGAATGTCCCACTGCTGTACTGTGGACAGTGGTTTCACAGGCAGTCACATAGCGAGGGACAGCTCCCCCCACTGCCAGCTTCTCTGGCCTGCAGATGTTTTCATTGTGTGCCATGCTGGCCGGACAGAGGCCTTAGGAGACTGTGTGGTAGCTTTTTTAATGGGACAGACTTTCGCAGAGCATTCAAAGGGTTTGTAGACTCATCTGATTCTGAGCAGGGTGCCAGGCTCCACAGCTTTGTATAGCAGCTAAATGCATTGGGAACCAATAGGTAGACTTTGTGACACTCTTTTAAGGCTGCTTCAAGTGTTTGTGTCCGTAATTATGTCAAGTTATGTAAATTAGGACTGGAAAGACTCCCTTCAAATGGGCAGTTTTAGTGCCCAGGATGTCTGTCAGCTGTACGGGAGTGCTAGGGAAATGCTTATTTTGGGAATACTGTTACACTGATCTGTCTTACACCTTTGACAGATCACCTATTTCTGTATGTCACCACTTTGTCATTTAGAACAGAAATAGACCTCTTACAGTAGTAAGTGATCACCACTAAGTATACATGGCAGAGAGGATAGAGACTCACCACTTTGTCATTTAATCAGAACAGAAATAGACCTCTTTCTTACAGTAGTAAGTGATCACCACAAAGTATACATGGCAGAGAGGATAGAGACAAAAATTATAGCAAAATGGGCATTTTATTACAATATTAATTTAAAGAAGATATTTAAGAACTTGCATGGGCATCATGAATTCTAAGGGAAGCGAGAACTACCTTTAGTTGTCATGGAGTGCCCTTGTTTAATCCTTAATCCTCCCAGTATTTCCTAGATTTACTTACAGTGATTACTACAATTCTTCTGGGGGCAAACTCAGTTGAAGGCCGGGGAGAGATCTGATGCTGGCACCAAACAGTTAATCCTCCTCGCTCCCTGTGGGCTCTTCATGGCCAGCGGCAGGTACACACGCCCTGTGCTGGCAGCAGCACTCTGCTCCCTGGAAGCTGAATGGCAGTGGGAAGCATCAGGGCTGCTGTACATGTGCATGGTGGCCACTGCACTCGCACTCAGTAAATGCACTGTCACTGCGACCGCCAGGTGGATTGTTTTGCACACACCAAATGGAGCCTGTGCTCTGACAGAGAAGGGGCTCTGACAGATAGGAGAAGAAAGGGAGGCCAATGCATCTGGCTCTACCATTTCTGGGGACACCTCCTGGTGGAAAATGTTTGTGTATGGCCAAAACTAGGCTTCATTCCTCTCACCTGACTCTATCTGATATTGCTAATTTTTGAACATTCTGTATACTAATAATGCATATATTTTAAATAATGCAGTCAGTCATCTCCCATTTTTTAAAAATTTCCTCAGTCTCTGACATGATTTTTCAGCTTTCCTGCCGAAAGATAGGCAGTTATGACGTAAGGCGTGTTCTGTGAGTAAAACTCACCTGTACAGGTATCACCTACTGCAGAACAGGAGCTTTGTGTACAGGACGTTTAGAAAGTAAACTTACAGCATGTTAAAGCACAGCATCATTCTGCTCTTCCTCAGGCCAGTCCTCCAGCAGCATACAAAGGCACAAGGAAGATGTTTATCTGCAGTTACTCTGAGCTGGTAACATCTTTATGAACTGCATGTGTACATTAAGTTGGGTAGGGGTGGATTTTGAGAGAGGAAAACCTGACTACGAGATGAATTTGGACTTTACATCTTATGAAAAAATGTGATCCTAGTCTGTGTTGGAGGTTTCCACAGGAAATCCTTACAATCAGAAGTGTTCTGAGACATGCCATTGTATGTAAGCAACAGCTATTGCTAGCAACTGCAGTTGTTGTACATGTAATTTGTCCAAAAATACCATACAGTGGTAACTGCTGTGCTAAGAATGAGGAAGACAGAGGGAGCAAATAAATTACTCAACTCTTAACAATATTCCATTGTTACTATGAAGAACAGTCATTCATATATCATTTCAATAAATACTCCATGTAGTTATGCAAGGAAAGAACAGACTGAATTACTAAAAGTGTTTACCCCTTATTGTTTTTATATATTGTGGCGTTTACAAGATAGTGATTGTAAGTTATTCTC